TGCAAAAACGAAACGAAATGGGCGAATTTCAATGTATCTAAGGAAAACGCTTACAACTTTCTAAATATAAACAAATATTTATTAGATAGAAACTTTTAGTTAAAGTAAATCAGTCAGAACATTAAACAAAAATTAAACGTAAATTTATTTGAATATATAACAAACATGTTTTATATTACACAACATCACAACCATATTTTTAAAACATAGCGAAGGACTTCTTTACGTGATGATACATTCAATTTTTTACAATAAAAAACAACCCTAATTTTGTTTTTAACCGTTATAGTATTTACTGAAATGTTTATGACATGTTAGTGGGTCTCTTAAACTTAAAAAAATATGTATTGTAAGAAAACGACATTGGTTTTAAGCTTCTGCGATAAGCATTAATAGGGCATTAATGTGAAATGCTCTCGAGGAGCAAATAAAACTAATGAAAATGTGAATACCCATATGGAACTAACTGTTCGCGACGTGCAGAACTTTTTGCAGCAATGAATGAAGCGAAAATGTGCGCATTCACATGAACATTACTGTCATTACATACATGGACATTGCCCTGAAAGGGATCAGACTAAGTTCGGTATACTTTGACCCTCATGTATTAATAATAATAATAATAATATTCTCCAGAAAACATTACCATCTACAAGGAGGGAGGAAGAGGTCACTTGAACCTGTCCCTCAAGGTCTTCAAAACCTAAATCCCGAAAATGTAGCGATGCAGCGATGACTGTGCCCCTGGTGGCTTAGTTTTAAGCCTGAGCGCTTTTAACGCTAAAAATCTCGTTTCAATACCCACATTTGGCAGATCACAGATAGCCCATTCTTTAGCTTTGTACTAAACAAAAAACTTTCCCGTAGTGGCAAAACGAAATCGAGGCCTCTGTTTTGTTAACATGTTTCAAAAGCTCATGAAGCGTTCAGTTCCACAAATGAAATATAACTTAAACACGTTTATTAGGAGTTTTAATAATTAAAATAATTAAACTTTAAGGTGTATTGTTTATTATTAATGGAAAATGATACATTCTTAGGTCATTTTTTCTCTTCAGAATTTTTTCTCAATGGCACAGCGGTATGGCTGCGGACTCAACGCTAGAAACCGGGTTTCGATGTCCGTGGTGGGAAGAGCACAGATAGCCCGTCGAGTAGATTTGTACTTAAACTACAAATAAAAATAAACAAATTATTTTGTTTTCTCAACAACAACAACAACAACAAAAAAAAAAGTCAGCAATATCCCTGACCTTGAGTATTCTATGTAAAATACTACAATGAACTTGAATTATGAATTTGAATGAATTATGTAGCTATTTATCACTTGATGATAAGTAAAAAGAGTGAAAGTTTAAAAGTAGTTAAAACAATGAGGGCCAGCTGACGCTCTACCCAGGGCTTTAATGACGTCGTAAATCAGATACGCGAATTTGCAACAGGTAATAGACAGGAACTGGGCGTTGGAGGGTTTCTAAGGCTTTTCCTTCTTTTTTTAAAGAGGGTGATATGGATTCCCCCTTTAATTATAAAGACAGACTAGAGAGTTTTACAAAAGACGTTTTTGTAGCACTATTTAGTGAAATACTACATCATAAAAGAGAGCCAGCCTAGGTTCACTACAATGAAATCTTACCTTTCTAATTTTCTATCTCATTTTGGGGTCATCACGTGTTATGAGAACGATTTAGAGGTTGTGGAATTGATGAAATTAGATTTTCAAAACGTTTTAGACAAAGAACCATATAAAAGATTATCTAAGAAAATCAATCACAGTGGTAGAGGTTGGGGAAAGACTAGTTAACTACATTGTAGACTGGTTGATAGAAAGCAAACAATTATTGCTCATGGAATTCAGTCTGACCTGACCTTTGTTGGACAAATAGCTGGCAAAGGTATAATAATAAGCGAAAATAATGTATTTGGGCTACATAATTTGGATAATACATTTAATATAGTAGGGAACTCATTCAATAGCATGACTGAAGAAAAGAATCTTGAAGGTTGATAAATAATTCACTCAAGCCATGGAAGTAGTACTTTGTTGCCAACGTTAAAACTCTTAGAATTTTAGGATGTATTTATATAGTACTGACATACTAATTACAAGTAAAATGAAGTATTATCTTTTTATACAACTCATTAATTACATCTCAAGTGGAATAATGTATACAATTTTAATCTCCTTATCTTAGACAGAATATAGACATTGAGACAAAAGCTCAAAGGAAAGCTACTAGGATTATTTCAGTGATGGAAATGTTATCTTATGGATATAGGTTAAGATAACTTATTTTCTCTGGAGAAAAGAGGAGTATAATAGTACAGGAAATTTACCAAATAACCAATGTATCGACAGGATAAAGGCCTTTGATTTTTTTGTTTTGTGTACTGAAGGTAATGGAACAACAACAACAACAAAGAAAAAATACACAAGTGAGAATCCGGTCAAGATAGTTTGATGTTTTAACAAGATGATTAACTTATGGAATAAATTATCGTTAATGGTAATAAAGGCTAGCATCCTATAAGAGAGAAATTGATGATTTACAGACAATCAAGGAAGGGTTCAATTTTTCCTTTTCTTAGAGATGAGTGTGCATGAACAACCTTAAATAATCAGATGGTTCTCTATTGTCAATATGTTGTCATAACGATCACAAAACTTAATGAAAGCTCAAAAGATGGTTAGTTCAGATATTCAAAATTATAAAGCAACATAGTACGTAATTTTAAATGATTTTTGAGCCTCACTACATGATTACAGTCAATATTACCACGTCCAACAATACTTTATATGATAATTGTGCATCTTATCAATAGCTCTGCAACATATTTTCCATTGCAAAAGGCATCTTAATTAGACTGTCATGCCCAAAGCACCCCACCCTTTGAATTTCCATAGCCCATCTTATGTACGAGGTTGATGATTTCACTGGACTCTTTCAACATTATTATCACAAAGAAATCAGCAGGGACTGTGTCTAGTAGCTTGACTGGTACCTTTTCATATAGAATAGCATGAATACCTGTTTCATTTTCCAGCTGTTTGAGGTATGCGATGGTTGAGTAGATATGTGATAAAAGCAGCTTGTGACTTTAGTTGTTTTTTTCAGATGGAGAATCCTTCTTGATTATTTTGGAGAATTTGGGGGTACGACTTTTTACAGATCTACTTTTTGAGGAAATATTACAGCCATATAAAAAAAAAATTAATTAATACAAATTGTTCTTAATTTTCCACTGGAAGTGGTATGTGTGTGTAGGTAATGAGTAATTGAACTGCAGTCAGAGAGAGACGTATTGTTGAAGTTAACGTTCGTTGTTAAAACGTTTGTAAAAGAGCGACTGTTGAAAATAAGTGTATCGTAAAGTTATATCCGGAAAGAATAAACCAGTTTTATGAAGTAAGGACTTGTGTCGCTAAAGTTTCGTCGGAACGAAGTTACGGAAAGTTAATTAACAAACGGAGACGTAACAAATTGGTGTCAGAAGTGGGATAAAAAAAATGGAAAGAAACAAGAAGAACGTGAGAATAAACAAGAAGAGAGACAACAGCAGTTGCAAGAAAACCAGCAACAGTGGCAGCTC